TCGTCAAGACGGTTCTAATGATACTATTTCCATCGAAATGTTGATCATTAGTTCAAGAGTTATTCCATTTAACAATACGTAATAAGAGAAAATAGATATGTTTGAAATGAAGTGCATTTATTCTTACACTTTTTAGTAAATTGCTTTAATTTGAAAATAATACCTCACCTGAAACATAATTTGAGTCTTGAACCTGTACATAAATAGCGTTTAGAAATATCAATTATGCAGATTTTCATAATGTAATTATACTTACGTAATTTTTATAGATGATTAATTTTTTATCATATTTAATTTATATATAAAAAGGTGATAAAAGGTTTAAGAGGAGGATTTTATTAGCTTAAAATTAGGTTTTTTTAATAATAAAATTCTTTTTATAAATTTAAAAAGGTTTGACAACTACGATTTGATTGGCTATTCTTTACATTCTTCGTTTTAAAGGTTATAGTTTGTGTTGTACAAGAAGATCTGGCCAATAAAATCATCAAGACCAAATTTTTTTTTTTAGATTATCTCAAAATTTTTCAACCTTCCTTGTTTCTTCGTAAAAATTGCTTTACTAATTGTTAAAATAATAATAATTATTATTATTCCTTGCCTTTCTGTAATAATAATATAATAGCTATGGTGTCATTCAGTTGTGATTCATGCTCAGATATTATTAAAAAGCCCAAGTTGGTTCAACATACAGCTCGTTGCCCTAGCGCACAATTTACCTGCATTGATTGTTCTACTACCTTCGCTGGTAAAAGTTATTTAAAGCATATTAAGTGTATTTCTGAAGCTGAGAAATATCAAAAAAGTTTATATAAGGGCAATAAAAAGGTATGTTTGTAAAAAACTAGTGCATAAAGATTTCTTTTAAGTGTAAATTACCTTATTAAATCCTTCACAAATAGGGTACACAAGATCAACTTCATAAAACTAAACAACTGAATTCAGATAATAAGTCTCGAGAAGTTTCCGATGAACGAAACGATAATAATAAGAACGACTCCTTGGAAAGTGGAAAACAAGATCAAACTCCTGATTCTACCAAGAATAATCAAGAATCGAAAGATAATTCTCCTTCTAAAAAGAAGAATAAAAATAAAAAGAAACTTCAAGATAATCAACATAAAAATGAAATTGAAGGGGAAAAGGAAGGAGCCAAAGGTGTGTTGATCATTGATTTTGATCACAAAAAAGTTAAAACAGCGGATACAGCTGCAAAGCAGGAAAACGACAATAAAAATGAAGATGGTCCTAGTATTAGCCCAAAAAAGAAGAAGAAGAAGAGGTCTTCCATTAATATTAGCATTAGTGATTTCAAAGTCAAGGATAATGCTACAGGCTTAGATGAAGTAAATGAAGCGCAAATAGTCCAAATTGAAAAGGAAATTGAAACACCAAAGATAGATAGTAATTTCAAAATCGAGAATAAGAAGGATGGTGATGGTGATGCCACGATGGCAGGTATATCGAAGAAAGAATGCAATCTTGATAAAACCGGCAATAAGAAAAAGAATAGCAGATCTTCCGGTAATATTAATAGTAACGATATCGAAGGCGAGGAAAGTAAAAAGGATAATGATGTAGATGCTATGATGAAAGGTTCAAACGATGTAAATGAAGTACAATCAGCCCAAACCGAGAAGGTAATTAAAACACCAAAGAAGGAAAGTAATACAGTGAAACTTGATAAAAGCAACAATAAGAAAAGGAAGGAAAGGAACGGTAAGAGGGATAGTGATGATGATGCTACGATGACGGATTCAAATGAAGTTAATGAAGTGCAATCAATCCAAACTGAAAAGATTATTGAAACACCAAAGAAAGAAAGCAATACAGAGAAACTTGATAAAAGCAGCAATAAGAAAAAGAAGAAGGGAAGGAACAGTTTGACGCACAACAATTCAACTGATAATGTGCAAGATGGCGAAACTAAGAGGGTTTCTATGATTCAATCTGTATCATCTATCGAAGTATTGAAGAAAGAAATTTCTGATAAAAAAGACAGGAAACGAAAATCTATTGATCCTGTGTTACCCGAAAAAAATGAACTTGAGACTCCGACAAATAAAAAGCAAAAAAATAATGACAAAACCAAGGATAAGAAAAATGCAAAGTTTGTTCATGAGAAAGATAGCACTCATGATCTAATCAGCATTCCTGCCGCTATTAAGAAGATCTTCAAAAGTGACGAGGTAATATTTACTTTTATTTTTCCTAAAAAAAAATGTATTTTTATAATTGATAATATTATTCTCATTACTCTTGTTTATTTATTACAAAGCATGATGAGTTAAATCTTAAGCGTCTTGAAGAAATGGTGGTTCGTGAACTGATTCCCAATTCAAATTTATCTGAAAATGAACTAAGGGAAAGTTTTCTAGAGAATATCGTGCTAACTATGAAGGATGGGAACATTATTTTAAAGTGAAAATAATATATACCCAATTCTTTTTTTACTATTAGTTTTTATTGATTGCGAAAGAATAATGAAGATAAATAAAGTTCTCTAAAGAATTTTTTTTTTTTTTAATGAGATTGATTAAATTCTGAATTGACTATACAATCCATTATATTATCTATTTTTTTTTGTATAACCGCCCGATGCTTTTTCTCGATAAAAGTTTAAGAATTCTTTCTTTTCTACTAGACCCAACCCTGTTTTACGAAATCTACCAACTTGTAACATGTAATTTAACACCTGTGAACCTACAATATCATCTGGTGTTGTTGCTGGAATTGAAGGTTGTGCGGTAGGTGCAAAGTATCGAGAAAAAGATGATTCATCGGAAATGAGAGATCTTATTTGAAGTGTGTTAATGAACTAGATTTCAAATGAAGGGAATGAAATTTAATTTTGAATTATATCGATGATTAATTATTATAATAAAATGCTTATCCATTACCTGACTACATAGTCTAATAAAGTGCCAGAATTTATTTCCTACCGTATATGTCGGAGAAAAATTCTCAAAGTCATATCTAAACGAAGATTAAATATTTAATATATGTAAAATATAATTGAAGTTTTTATAAAATAATTTTTTACCTTACTGTAAATATATGAATTTTAAAGTCATTGACAGGTATCGATACATTTTTAAATATAGGATTGAATTTCAACAGTGCTCTACCGTTAGATGTAGTTCCCTATAAAAAATGAATAAGTTCAATTAAAGTTCGAATTAAATTCGTATCAAGTTCATTACGCAAAAATAAGTCAACCTCAGGAAATATAACAATTGGTCTTGATCGCTTCGTCTTAGCATAATTAATCAACTCTTGAAGCGTGAATGTTTCCGTTTCTACTGGTGGGTCAAGATTTGGATACGATCCAGTTGTCCAAATCGCTTTCCATAAGGATATTGGCCGCAAGGTGTTGGTGGCGGGATAATATTGCGTAAAAATAGGATCAAACCTGTTTACAATAAAATCAATTATCAAGTTTGTTTTATCATAATTAAAAGAAAAAAAAAAAAATTTCAATCCTCACCTAAAGGTCAGATAAAATATTTCTACATATGATACCCAATTACAAACGATAATATCGCCTGCATCAACACCACCACGTTTATTTGCGCGTTCACGCGCCTTAGGTATCCCTCGGCTATTAAAGGCAAGTTAAAATGGACCCGGTCGATTAGATAAATTTTTTTTTTTTTAAAAAATAAAAAAAAAAAGAAAAACAAAGAGAAACAACATTCATACTTGTATTTACCCTTTTGTTAAAGATGAAACGATTTCCGAGCGAATCCAATAAAACCCCATAAAAAAGAGAATTAAACGCGTTAAAATTGCGCTGAACAGATAATGGATGATTCTATGAACAGGTTTTATAGGTTTCTAAATAATATAGATCGTTATTAAATATATAATTTCTTTTTTAAAAAAAAAAAAAAAAAAAATTTTAAAAAATGATTTTGTATGACTTTACCAAGACCAAGCATATAACGTCAACCAGAAGAAATAACAACAAGGAGGTGACTAATACCAACGATAATTTGAGAATCCCGATAACAGGTTTTAACACATATCCGATTGCAGTAGCAATTTTTGTAACATTGTCCGAATCCTTGCGCGATGGCTTTTATGAAACATGTAACATTTTTCTTTATTGCTTAAACGGTAAAAAAAAAAAATAATAACTCAAACTACTAAAACAATAAAAAAAAAGTACATACAACAGGTGGTAGAAACGGCTGAATTCCCGTACCAGCATCCTAATATTTTTTTCGTTAAATAGTTATATGAATTCGAATTATAGCGAAATAAGAATTCTTGCAACGCTTACCCTCCAAGTTGAGAATTTCTCCATAATTAGAAAAAAAAAAAAAAATAGAGTTGTTGATCCAGAAAGAAATGTGACGATTTTAATGATGAACGTTGTGTAACTTAAAATAACTAACTGACAAGATCGGAAAAAAGCCTGATTGAATATAGTGTTGCTTTTACTTATTATAAAGGCCGAAGACCGTTCTCGTTAATTACTTTACAATTAGTTTGAAGGTTGTCACACCTTCTTCCTTCCTCATCAATAGATAAGAATATTATTGACTCGATGATATCAATCCCTCTACTAAAAAAAAAAAGATAAAGCCTAAAAGAAAAGTTTAATTTATACACAGGATTCTGTACTTAATAATTATTAAATTCATATATTTCTACAAAAATGATAACTATTATAAAGTTGTATCCTAAAAAAATATATGCAGTATGTTATGAACAGTACATTAAATTAACAGAAATCAGAACAAGAAATCTCAATGATTTTAAAATTCCTTGAAAAAAAAAGAAAGGAACCATTGAAACGCGGGACATTCTCATCAATAAGACGCACCATCAATTTCTAATTTGTACAATTTTTTTTTTTTTTACCTTCACACAAATTTAATGATTATAAATGCGCATTATGATTTAATCAGTGTAAAAAATATAAACAATAAGAAATAGTATGATTTCGATTTACTGATATCTTTAAGAAAGCGCTTTTTTGTTAATCAAATTATTTTAACCTTTTAATTCAGAAGATAGTGATATTTAATGAAACTATCATAATCCAAACTAGATGTTGACCGAATTATTCATTTTTTTTTTCTCATATAAAAATACAAAAAAGTTCTTCGATTGAAAAATTCTTGCGTCATATTTTATTTTTTTCAACCGATCAAACAGTTCGTTATTCCCGGGTTACTCGAACACGGTATTGCTCTGTATAGAAAGCATTATGCATACAACCGTTAAAAGTGACGATGAACGCGTGCAACATGTTAAATGTGCTGAAAAAAAGGCCAAGGTACAAAACGTGAGTTTTTACAGTGATAAAAAAAATGGTTGAAAGTATTTGAACAATAAAAAACACGACTTTAACAATATTTTTTAAAAGATGATTTTTTTTGTGTTAATCACACTTTAGTTTTTTAATTCTCTCACTTTTTAAATAAAAATGTACACATATATGACTTCATTCTTTGATCAAAGTTTATTCTTTCTCGTTTCTAATGATTAAGGAACAAGCTTGATCCTTTCTAAGCGAGAACATGAAAATGCTTGTAAAACAGTTATCCTTACCGGACCCGAAACTTTATCAGCTCGAGAACTTGTAGCTAGGTTAAATATATCAGTACAAGCAAAAATATTCACAGGAAGGGATTTCTCGAGATGAAATCTCTTCTTGAAGGCGCAAACTCATTGTCCTTCAAGTACTGAGGGTGAGGATATTTTTTAACCTGGTAAAGAACAAATTAATGATGCTTATCTTGAATTTATTTGAACCTAATGATGGGTTGAAGAAAATTATTTTGTGAATTCGAAAGTTACGCGTTTCTATTCTATTGAGTTGGAATACTGTAACACGTTTTCCTTTTCTATTGTATATCGAGAAATTACATAAATGTACGGTATATAATACGCGATATTTCGTCAAAAGTACAGTTAGGATCTTCACTTGTAATTTCACATTCATAGGGGATAAATTTATACGCTTGGACAACATCTTTATTCTAAGAGAGGACTTTGTATTATGCTTTGTTAACATCTTGGAGGGAAGTGAAAAAATGTATTTTATTTGTTGTCTCTTTTAAAAGTAATAATAACTAATTATTGAAAAGATTATTTTATTGAGATAAAAACAATTTCCATTAATTTAAGAACAGATTGAAATGTCAACTACCATTGAACTTTTGGAACTTGACCATGGTAACTTTTAATTTTCATTCAAAAGTCTCTAAATAAAAAAAAATATATTTTTAATTGGAGTTACCTGGGAAATCTCCTGAATAGATTATGTTTGATCTTCTTTGATAATATCGGAGGAACCTGAAATTAGAAATAATAATTAAATAATTTAATTAATTTATCCTGATTGATGATCACTGCTGCGCCGTAACACAATTATTATTATATTACTGATAAGCATATAATAAAAATAATTTTTCCAAAAAAAAAAAAAATTTCTCGAGATAAAAAATTATTTTTAACGAATGACCTTTTTGCGCCTTTAAAACCTTTTGGTGGTGTTTCATAAAAAAAAAAAAAAAAAAAAAAAAAAAAACTTTTGAACAAAGAAAATATAATTTATTCACCTTTTGGGTATAGTATGGTAATGATCGAAAAAAAATTTGTTACACTAATGTGACCCCCAAATTGTGAGAAACTTTTTTTTTCAAACGAACAATGAGATCCTTTATACCACTTTGAAATATTTTATTTTTGCCAATTACTGGCGTAACCAAAATAAAAATAAATAAAATTTCATCATCGAAAAAACGAGAATTATAACGTAATCTCAATAGAGACCATTTAGACCATTTGTGGTTATCATGCGAAAAGGAAATTTTATTTCCAATTAATTGATTATATTATAATAAAGATGGATGAAATGAAAAAAAAAAAAAAAAAAAAAAGGGAAAAAAACCATCCCCAAAGAAAGCAGAAAGGAAAGAAAAGATTTTCTTTTTAAGGTTTATCTGATTGCATTGCGGCATGATGTTTGACGATTTTCCTTAAAGAGAGTAATTGAGATCAGACGGATGTGTCTATCTATAACTTTTGATCATCAAAAAAAAATCAAAATCAAAAAAATTATTTTGGCCTGCACTACCCAATACAAATTTATAAAAGCCTACCCTTGTGTTACCACCTTGCCACATGCGCCAAAAATATTTTTTATATCTATAGGTTTTATAAGAAAAGACACGATTCCTTCTTCAGTCGGGTTTCTTTCTTCTAACACCTAAATAGTATCATTGGCCTGAAATTGAACATAAAAATCTATATTATTTTACCTTTTTACTTTACTTTTTTTCTTGTCCATCTCTATTTTCATTCAACATGACCGATCAAGACACTACTACTACAAGTACCACTAATCCTGAGGTATCAGCCAGCAGTCAGTCAGTCCCTGAAACGAATGCTGATGTTAAAAAAACTGAAGTGAAAACCGAGGAACTTCAAGAGGTTCCCAAAATTAAACCTGAAGTACTTAAAACAGAAGAGCTTAAAAAAGAAGACCCCCCAAAAGAACCTAAAATAGAAGAGGTCAAAAAAGAACAAGTAAAACAGCCAGAGCCGATTAGCGCTGCTATTGTTGCAGAAGAGAAACCAGTAGAGAAACCTAAAGAGAATGCTGAAGCAACTAAGAGTGTTGAACCTAAACTTGAAGAAACTAAAGTTGTAGAACCAACCATTGAAGAACAATCCAAAAAGGAACCAGCTAATAAAGAACCACCTAAACCAACCACAAGGGAACCAACTAATGAGGAACCACCTAAACAAACCACGAAGGAACCAACTAATGAGGAACCACCTAAGCCAACCACAAAGGAACCAACTAATGAGGAACCACCTAAACTAACCACAAAGGAACCACCTAAACCAACTACAGAGGAACCACCTAAACCAACTACAGAGGAACCACCTAAACCAACCACAGAGGAACCACCTAAACCAACCACAGAGGAACCACCTAAACCAACCACAGAGGAACCACCTAAACCAACCACAAAGGAACCAGCTAATGAACCAACTAAAGAAGAACCAAAGAAAGATGAACCAAAACAAGTTGAACAAAATCAAGAACAGAAAGTGGATCCTAAAGTTAATGCAGTAGAAAAGAAAACTGAAGATGAATCAACAAAGGTAGTTGAAGAACCAAGTAAAGCAAGCACCCCTGAATCTAATCCACCCGTTGTTCCACCTAAAGCTGAAGATAAAACCGCTGAAAATGATGCTCCGGAAGTTCCACCTAAAAGTACGGAAACTACCGAATCAATTAACAAGCGGAAGAGTTTTGTTAAAAAATTAAAAGATTACTTTGGCTTTAAAAGTCCTAAAGATACTAAAGTTTCAGAAAATTAATTTAATAATTTTGTGACATCAATTGTAATTTATTATTATTATTTTATTATTATTATTATTATTTTTTTTTTGAAATATTTAGGCTCTCTGAAGGTTCTTAACGCTAATTTTATACTAACATATTTCTCCCTGTATTTCTCCCTTCTCTTTTATTATTATCATTATTTCATTTTATGTATTTAACTTTTTTTATCTTGTATTTTTTTTTTTTTTTTTCCTGAATTTTTTTTGGGTTGTATTAAATATGGGTGTGTATGTTCCAAGTTATTAAAGAACACTTGTACCATTTAATTCCTATGTGTATATCATGAATCAATTTTACTAGACGTTTTACTAAACAGTTTATTGAAATGAACAAATGAATCGATGTTGAATTTATTATCGGTGAAATAAACTGCCGTATATAGAATTTAATCTATTGATTTTAAGTTCCTTTAAAATTGGGTTCTATCATGTTCTTTTTTTTTAAAAAAAAAATAAAGTTGTCTATAGAATAAGAATTTGTTTAAAATTTGAAAACACTAATATTGTTTATGACTGTGAGATAGTAAAATTCACTTAATTTACTTACATAAATAAATATCTCTCAATTTATCTAATTTATCTCTAATTTAATTTCTCTTTTTAATATATCCATTAGGATTTCTAAAATTAGATACAGAGAAATGTAAAGAAAAGAAATATATACTATATATATATATATATATATATATTTTGAAACGGGAAATCTTTATGATCCCCTTGCCATCAAGAGGAGATATATTGAAATCATTGCTACCTCAAAACGAACATTTCACTAATAACGGGAAACAAAAACCGACAAGCATATGAATGATTTGGATGCAAATTGATGTTTTCTTAAATAAATAAATAAAATGAATGTGATAAAAATCATTGGATCATACTTTTCATTGGTTTTTGTTGGTAGCGTATTCTCAAAAAGTGCGTTTCCATATTCCCCTATTATTGTTAATCTATATCAAATATTAGGTACAATAATAACTAATATATTACTATTACATTAATGTGAGAGAACGTGGCTGAAATGTCCGGGAACGCGAAGCCGACATTTTTCACAATCTAAACGACGTCCCATGGTAAAAGGTAATTGATGCAATTGTACCTGTCGATGTTGTTGACGCTGACCACGTATTGGTGAGGAATACGTTGATTTCGTTATATCCGTCTCATGATGTTGAATCTGTTGAATAAAGGTGATCATGAAGTTAGTAAACTCTTTTATTAACAAATACATGATGAAAGAATATCCAATTCAATCAGATTCATTAAAGAAAAATCATCTGTACACGTGAAAACTACTTACAATCTCATCATCATCAAACCTCTCTAAATCAATCTGCATGTTATCATAGTCCATGAATCCTACATGCGTTGTTTCTTGAACGGCTAATAATTGTGTTTTATTGCTTAGGTCATTGATAGAATTAGACCGACTGAGCCGATTTTCGTTCCAACAAGAGAATTGTGGATTTGGAAAGGACGAATTTCCTTTAAAACGTGGAGGACTCAAGAGTCGTACGGTTTTCTGTAAGAAAATGTAGTAATAAGACTCACGTCAGCAAATAATAAACCCTTTTATCTCCATAACTATAAATGTGAGTTTTATACCTGGACATGTTCATTCCTGTTTATGCTATTACTACGAGTTCTTTTACGTCCAGCGTTGGTAGGCGAGTGAATTTGGGAAGTAGTAAAGTTAAAATGATTGTTAACAGCATGATTGGAGTTTGGAAAGTGCATAGTATAATCCATGTTCTACTGATGTACAAGTCTAGTTCTTTCCAAAAAATGAGTTTTGTAAATAGAAAGACAGAACCGGACAAAGTAATGAATTTTTTGAAGGTGGTCTATATTTATAAATTTTCAAAATAATTGTATCACGGATGACCAATAAATTACAATGGCACGGGTATTCGTCGAAACACGTGAAAAAACACGCATACTACATAACGTCAACTCGAACGTTGAAATTTGACCGTACACGCGACTTCTATTAGTTAATAACTTTTGATCCGATTACCCAAATGTATGCAACAACATACGGGTAATTCATGAATTACATTGTGAACTTTTGTTTTTAAAAAGTTTAAGAACTCATCTTTTATCGTGATTGTTGTTTAACCCGTAATCACGTCCGAATAAGGTATTAATTCCTACTATTGAAACATCCACTCCAATGTTTAGTCCATAAGTAAGCATGTAATAAATGTCCACGAAGATCAAGACAAAGAGGTGTAAGATGACTTATTAACTGATAAACGTCACATGATTATAGCATTATAGCCTGACATCACGTGAAAATCAAATGCTATAAATAGTCTTGAACTTTTTGTATTATCTATATCTAAAACATGTAAAAATTATTTATTCATCTGTTTACAAAATGTATTTAAAAAGATGAATTATAAACCTAATAGAAAAGTAAAATGTAGTTAGTTAATTTTGATCAACCTTATTACCATAAAAAGAATTGAATTTTCGATTTGTTCACATGGCTCAATTTCTTTTATAAAAAATGTGATTGAGCGCGTGATTATTATGTGACTCTGGATACGTGATCTTATACGCCAGCGTCAATACTTGATATTTATGATATCACAATTCAAATGATTATTCCACTTTTCCAAAAACATCAAGTAGGGAGAATAAAAAAAAAATTGTATAAATTTCAATGTTTGAACTCCCTTTCTGATTATTACTCTTTTTTTTTCTTTACTGAATGATATTGAAATTCTCTTAAAAATTCATTTAAAAGAACATTAGGTTAATTAAATTGAAAACAAATAGCCGTAAAGTTAAAAAGGCGATTGCATCAAACCTCCCTATTTCATTATATCACATTAATAAAAAAAAAAATAAAAAAAAAATGGTGGGTTGTTCGTTGAAAAATGAAGTTTATGAGAGAAGTGACAACACCCCAAATTTCAATTTCGCCATCGGTATTACCATAGCTGTATCGACCTCGTTTGTTCAATCCCTGGGTCTTACGATACAACGCAAATCTCATATAATAAATGAAAATGTTTATCCAAAAGAACTTAGACGATCTGCATGTCGACAACCTTTATGGCATTTAGGTTTTGATACTTATATAATTTCAAATATAATTGGAAGTATATTTTCAATTGGTTACCTTCCAATCATTATTTTGGCTCCCTTGGGGGCTGCATCTCTGATTTTTAATGCATTTTTTGCCAAAATACTTTTGGGTGATGTGTTTACAAAGCAGACAATAATAGGTGTGATTCAATTCCTTAAATTTTAAGACCCCCAGTTTTTTTTGTCCTTTGTTTTAATCAATTTTCATTGGCCTTTCATTGCGATCACATGATATGAATCCCACTTTTAAAATGGTCCCCAAATTTACTTTTTTCTTTTATTTCATTTCATAAAATGTGACTAATTTTCATGTTCTAGGAACCATTTTTATCCTAATTGGAGCGATAATGATTGGGTTTTTCGGTGTGGTCAATGAACCGAATCATTCGTTAGAAGATTTGATCGAACTTTATAAACGTCCAGCATTTATAGCTTACTTTTCTATAATTGAGTTTGTGGTAGTTTGTCTATTAATTGCGAATAAATTTGGAGAAGATGTATTGAATCAAATGCTTCTAGGTAAAAGTGATCTTACATTTGGTTGGTCATTGAAAAAATTTCAAATGATTCTCGGAATCTCGTATGGATGCGTTGGTGGTATGATATCAAGTCAGAGTTTATTATTTGCAAAGAGTGGTTTGGAATTATTACTTTTGTCGATTCTTAATTGCGATAACCAATTTAACCAACCATTAAGTTGGTTTATTGTTGTAGCATTGGCTGTCACTGCTTTGTTACAGGTAATCACGTGTGCGTGTGCGTGTGAGTGTCTGATTTCTTTTTCTTACATTTCATTCATGTTTAACCAATTATTTAATAATTTTTCAGCTTTATTACCTTAATAAAGGACTAAAATTATGTGATACCGTTATTTTAGTTCCACTTTCATTTTGCACGTATAATGTTTCAACGATCTTTAATGGTCTCGTATATTACAATCAATGGAATCAACTATATTGGTGGCAAATCTTTTTCGTAATATTAGGTATCTGTTTATTATTATGTGGTGTGCTTGTATTATCATGGCGAAGAAGTACTGCACCAGAAGAGGTATTCGTGGTGGGAGAAGATAGTATGCTATTAGAACATAATATTGAAGGTTTCGCTGAACTCTATGATGGTGATTTTAATAAACATGCCGAGAATATAAATGATTCTGATCATGGATTTTTGGGAGGTGATTCATCTGTCACGAGGATTTTATCATTTGAAGAGATGTTAGATGATGTTGATGATGATGATGTAGATGAAAAAACGTCCTTACTGGGTAAGCGCAAACACAAGCGAAATCGTAGATCAGTTTCAATTGGAACAATATCTGGTGATAATTATGGTTTACATAATTAACCTTTTTTTTTTTAAAAAAAAATAAAAACATTATGTAATGTTATCAAATTATATATACAATTATTTATTTATTATATATTTAATATATTTGAAAATAATTCATAGTAACTTGCATGTAATCATTTCAACTTTCTATAAATAAAAAGAATTTACAAACCAATTTTATTAAATATTTCATAAATCACTTTATTTTTTTCATTTTTAATTAAAAAACCTATTTTTTAATATAAAAATTTAGAATATTCTTCTCTCATTTAGCTTTATCTAATATTATTAGTAATAATCAAACTAATTTTAAAAACTTCAACATT